AATAAAATGTTTTTTCTTTTTTTAGCTCAGTGTTTTTCTTCTCAGAAAGTATCTACTGCCAACAATCTTAAACTCAATCTTGCAAAATTCCACATAACAGAAGTGATAAAGTTCTTGTATCTAATGGTAAACACAGATTCCACTGTTCTTGGGAAGCATTCTTGGGGGGATGTATAAAATCCATGCTCTGAAAAAATCAGAGCAAAACTTCAGTTTAACACTGTAGGACTTGAGCAAAGTGGAGCAGAACACTTACAACTTCCAGGAAAGCTTTTAACTGTGTTTTATTTTTGTCTTTAGCCAACAGAGAAATATTAATGTACATGCTTCAAAAATGTGAAAAAAAAAAGAAAATTAAGTCAACACTACAAAGTATGGATGACACATATTCTCTGTTTTTCATTTACCATTTCTTTGCAGGAGAGCACATGATTTATCTTGTGAACATACCAACATTTTTCTAAATTTAATTTGATCATTTTCCTGCAGGAATAGCCTAATAATCTTAATCTACACCCACCTTTAATAATATTTATTTCTGTTCTTCTGCTCCTCTGTTTCTGACTGAATAGTCTCTCTTTGTCCATCTGGTGAGTACCCTTTTCCCAAAATAGTTCATGACCACTCTTCCCTATATTTGCACGAGAGATGTACTATTATTATATTTGCATGGAAGAAGTTAGGTGATCCTCCAAAAATGTTTTTCAGTGATATCATTTGTCCAACTTGTAAATGGATTTACAGTTCTAAATATGACATCATAAGTGGCATGTGACAGGAGATCTAAGCAAGAAATATTTTGCAGTCTCCTAAAAATCTAGCCAGAATCACTCTTTTTTATATCCTGATTGTTTGTCCAAAATAATTAACACTTGGTCATAGAGAATAACCTGCAGCTATCATTGTTCAGTATTCAATGTTTTTCCAATATTTAAAGCTGAACTGTTGCTGGATTTAAGAATGTGGCTTTTGAGATACAATTCCACAGCAGAAGCTGTTCTGGGAAGGAGCAGGAGCCAGCCCTGGAAGCATAACAAAGTATGTTTTGAATGCACAGGACATGCAAAGCCACAAATGCCAGCCAGCACCACATGCTTAAAGCTACATTCCACAAACCAGAATTTCCTCGAGCACAGTAATGCCTGCTGTGACAAGTAACTAAAGTCTTGAGAAAACAGCTGCTAAAATGCATTTTCCTCTCCAGCTGAAGGAATTCTCACTACACAGACACCTTCAACAAGGTGACGCTTTGCACTTTCCTTTGTTTTTACATGCAAAGCAACAGCATCCACACAGAAGCCAGCCCTGGCCCCCATGATACCCATGGAAAGAAACCCTTCTTTTGACTTCACTGGGATCATGATTTGGGCATAATTGATTAATCCTCATTCCATTCCTGTGACACAAGGAGGCATACACAGAGATCACTTCACACATCAGTGCAACATGGTGTTTATTCTGGAAAATATCAGCTGTTCCAAAACAGAGGAGCCCAACATGCAGTTTGAAACAGGATGCAACACTATCTCCATCTGAAACAATACAGGAAATGCTGAGTGGCATCACTTAAAATAGATTTTGGCCAGCATACAGGGGTTAAGAGACTTAATTTTCAAAAGGTGTGCTGGGACCTTAAATAACCATGAATAGTCAGGAGTTTGTATTGGTGCCTCGCTGGAAGAGTGGCAGCACACACAGTGTGGTGGTTCCTCTTGCCACAGGAACACATTGCTTCCTTGCTGGATCATCTGCAGCTTTCAACAGGGCTCCCACATCCAACAGAGAGCCACTGCAAAGTCCTGACCCCACAGAATGCAAAATCACAACAGTACTTGGAACCAGTGGAACAGGGACTTCACTGCCTGGAAATAGTCTGTGAGATCTGGCAGCAACATTTCCCATCAGATAGCAACCATGAGATCTTTGATATCTTATGTAACTGCTATCCTTAAATAAATCGTATATCTAGTTCATCATTTTTCCCCCTGATTTAATTAGAATCGTGCTTAGTTCTTCAGGTTGGTGAAGTTTTATCTTGCAATATGCTGCAGATGCTACTGCTTGGAGATTAATGTTTGCTTTTTAATTAAAGTTTTTACTTGGGAGGTTTGTGATATCTCTACACTACCATTTAAGACCAAGAAAATAACTGTGTATTATTCTTAAAATGGGCAGCCATAGCATAAGGAACAATCATATTCAGCATATCACCAAGATCTACTGTGTGGTTTTAATTTATATGTGAGATTTTCTTAGCTTGTTTTTAATGAGCCTCCATCAGAAGCTCCATCAGAACCATGCATTTTCCATGATCTCTGTATTTTTAAGTTTAGACTGTTGAGTAGTCAGCAAGATCTTCTGCACTAGTTCCCCACCAGCATCATAAAGTTCAGCTGCCATGAGCAGCTGATTGCCCCCACAGCAGAGCTCTGCAGGTGGACTGGGGACAGGGAAGACACAGCTACAACTCAAGAATGCAGGAAAGAGAGACCTGAAATGGGGAGGGTGAGCTGGGCCACAAGAACAGCACTGTGGAAAGGTTCCAGGAGAGGAAACTGCTGCAGGAGGCTAGGGCAAAGATGGAGAAGGAATTACAGCAGAACTAAGGGAGGCAAGGATGCTGTGCCCACACATCTGAGGCAAAGGGGTGCCCTGGGAGGGCAGGAGGGGATGCAGAGGGGGAACAGCCAATATATAATCTCCTGAAAGATTAAGAACCCTTGTTTGCTGGAAAGAATGATCTCAAATCCTAATTTAGTAACAGGAGGGAGAGTTATTACTGCTCTGAGCAGTGTTGGCCCAGACCCCCAGAAAAGCACCAAGCACCACACAGCACAGACATAAACTGAAAAGATAGTCCCTTGTCAAAGAGTTTCCAGGTTTTGTGTAGAGCAAGGCACAATGCAGGGATGAACAGAGGAGTGCTCCCAACAGGGAGCAGACTGCTCGGTCCAGCTTTGCAAAATCCTGCAGGCTTCTCTGCAGCTCAGCTAATTCACTTATGCCTTATTTCACTGTAGCACAGTGTGGTCTCAATGCTGATTGGTATGTCTGGAAAAATTCTGATTTGCAACTTTTAAAAACAGTTACTTAACACTAAAAAGGCACCCTCAATTTAAGTTTGAGTTAGTACAAAGCAGGCCTATAGTTAAGCCCTTGCTTTCTCTAATGGCCCTTAAGAGGAGCTACAAAGAACATTCAGAAACTCATTTACATGCAAAGACAAGAAGGGAGACCAATTCCTGTCAGATTCTTAGTACAGCCATCTGGGAAGAGCCATGTATCTGATGGAAGGAGCATTACTTAGACCAGTTCCACTGACCTCAGCCTTGAGAGGGAACAAGACCCTGAAATGCTGTTCTCTTTCAGTGCCTTTAGCAGGACCTGAACCCGTGCTCACACATTACACACCGACAGCAGGACAGGTGGGAGCAGGGGCCTCATGGCACATCTACCTGCAGGTTTCGGACCTGGGCTTGAGAGAGAGCATGAGAGCCTCAGGGCAATGTTCCAGTGCCGAGAGAATGACACCCTTCTGGGAAGGGAGACTCTGGGAGTAAAACAGGAGACCTAGGTATCCTCTTTAGAGGTTGAATATTTGACTTTGTATCCGAGGCAACTGATTGGAGTGCAACAGGCAAGCTGCATCAAGTGTCCAACTCAGGAGAAACACCAAACCTTTGCTGAAAGGCATAACCACTTCCCCCTGCTAGATCCTGGGTTTTGCAAGCATCTGAGCTTCTGATTTAAACACAGCAGCAATTGCTACCAGATGTGCATGTCGGGGCCCTGAATGCACTGACAGCCCGTAATTGGCGCCCCTGCCCCAGGCGTGGGGGCCCTCAGTCCCTGCCCAGCTCTGTTGGGCTGCAGATCCAGCCTTGCTGTGCCTGTTCATCTGGGCAGTGACCCACGTGCTGACCTGAATTTCTGCCTTGCCTTGGACTTGTCTCATGCCTGTGAACTTGTCTGCACTGCTGACAAGCATCAGCTGCCAAGCATGGCCAGCGCTGCTCGGGGGCTGTGGGATGGGCCCCCACCCTGCTGGCCATGCTACCCTCCTGTCCCTCTCTGCTCCCTGACAGCAAAGAGGAAATGCTCTAAATTCCCCTTCCAAACACAGATGGGTGCTACTGATTGGTATTTAACTTAAAAGCTGGTGTTTCCATACTGCAGGGGATTTGAATGTTTTAGACTCGATATGGACAAGAGAAATGAGACAAAACTGAAATTAAATATCCAACTGTAAAAGAAAATTGAGTTTGAACAGAATGTAGTGCTAGAAACTTCTGCAAGTACCTTCTTTGTATTTTGCAACTGTCTTAACAATAGGTAATCCATGGTAGCACTGATTCATACGTCCCCACTTGCAGAATTACTTGACATCTAAAAAGCATCTGAGTTGGAGTTGAGACAGCCTGACGATCATGATGAATTTGATATCTAAGCATTTGGATACTCTCAAGCAGTTCCACAGAAGTACATGCAGAGTGCCTGAATATTCCTCCCACTTTTTTCTTTTCATTTTTTTTTTTTTCTTCCAATTTGTACAGTATCTACATCTAGGAAACAACCTGTGCACCAGATGTGCTGTGTAAAACTTCTGCCTGCCCCCCAGCCCTAGCATGTGTGCCCCACGGGGTCTAACCCACCTCCACCCCAAATGAGAAACATATGGAGCACCATGAATGGCAGAAACAAGACTTCACTTTGAACTACATTCCTCCTATCAAAGAGTCCTCTGTCTTGCCTTCTTCTTCTCCATTCCTCTGGGTAATCACGAGGAAAGAACCAAACATTCAGAAAAGCCTCCTGGGGTCAAATTCATAGCTAGTGTAACTCTGCTGAAGTTAATGGTGTTGCACCTTGGATTGAAATGGCACCACAATATTAAAAACCAGAGACAGCATACTACCCTGTAATTACTGTCTAAGAGAGAAAAAAATAATAAAAATGATTCATTCTTATAGACCCCAAAGGGCACAGCTGGCTTAGTCAGTTTAAAAGGTGAAAATAAAAGAAGGCAGCTAGAATGTAGTGATTTTAAACTTGTATATATGTATATAAATATGGATAAATGATAGTCAGATTTTAAGAACAATATGCTAGAAATATAATTTGATGTGACTGTGAGTTTGAAAAGACAGACAGCAGAAGTAGCTCTTTGGAAAATTAAAGGCCTTCTTTCATAAGGGCATAAATTAGGAATAAATTCCTTCTAAACAAACATTATACTGTTTCAAATTTAATGCAAAGGATTTGGGCCCTGCAGCACCGAAATTGTCATTCTGTAACACAATCAAGCACCAGAAGTTGCATTCCCCCCTTTTTTAAAAAAGGATAATGTTATTTTTTTTAGCCAGTTAACATTTAAAGGTCATTGTTATGGGAAGGAAACATTTATTGTATTAAGTTTAGTGAAGTCATTAGAAACGTGCGGTCTGCTCCTTTATGGACTTTAAAACACCATATGGAGGTGTGTGAGAGACACTCTAAAGCTCAGTGACACTGTACAGTGTAACAGCAAAGGCAAAGCAGAGATCTGACAGAAGAGCTGCATGGGCTTCAGAGGCATTTGTCAGCAGCAGCTGTTGTATCTCCATCTTTCTTGTTATTTAAGTGAGGTTCATCTAGGCAATAATCCTTTCCAGCCAAAGGAATAAAATCCCACTATGAGAACTCATCTTCTGAGTGCAGGAGGTCCTAGAGAAAGAACACAAGCCCCAATATTTCTGCAGATTGGCTAAACAGTATCTCTGCTTACCTATCTCCCAGTGCAATGAATGATTGAGCAAACACTTGGTGCTCATTATTGCTCAGATGTCCCCTGGTGGTCTTACAGCCTCTCGTGCCCACAGAAACACAGCTTTCCTTTATGTGTAATCAATAACAAGGCTGCCACGCATGCCCTTTGTACCTGCTGGAGCCAGAACACAAAGTCTTGCTCTCCCTAGCTGTGCCAGACATCACCATTTCCTAGAATAAATTACCTGGGGAAATCAGGTTTCCTTGTACAAACAAGCCAGGCTTTCAGTTACACAGTAACTGAGACATTCAAAAAACGTGGGGAGAGGAAAATTGGCTGACAGGAAACCACTGAGAAGTTTCAGCAAGCCAAGAAAAAAATCAGAGTTTTGAAGACAAATTTTCACCAAAATTTTTTCCGATATGTTACCTCGATATTAAAAATCCCCAGCAGGATCCATAACCATCTATGGATGCTTTTTTGCTGCTTATTTGTTTATACACAAATATTCCCTCAATCAGACAGGCCGTGATTACAAGTTATGTTAGTTTCCTAGTTGATTTCTCAAAGTAGATATTAACACTAGAGAAAAAGAATTCCTCCTGTTTAAAGATATAGAAATGCCCCCCCAATAAAAGTCATTTTCCTTTTCCCTTGCTACTGAGATAGGCACATGCTGACTTTTCATTAAAAATGTCACAGCTGTCAAGCTCTACTGAGACAGAGCAATGAAAACAGTCTTAAAGATAACAGAAAATTGCAAAATATGTAAGATTTTAAACAAATAAAATTTGAACAATGTTTTCCTTTTGCTCCTTGGTATATGCTGGTTATCTTCTACATCAGATTTACCTCTTTACCCAAGAAATGTCTGTAATAAGAAGGGCTAGAAATTAATTTTCAAATGAAAGCTGAGTATAATGAAAATACATGAAAACACATCCCACTGAAGCTGGGGATTTAGGCAAAATATCACATACAAAGGCCTGTGACAGAACAGCAAGAGTTAGCAAGGCTAAATAGCTATAAAAACCCCTGTCATTTTCCATTGTTTCAAGGCAAACAAGACTTCCCTAGTTTTAGCACATACTCCTTTGTTCAGCCAGGAAGATCCATTCTACAAAAGCTTAATTAATTTCCAATAGGCTACAAGGAAGAAGTCTTACTTTAAGTTTTAGAAGATAAGACTTAATCTAACAGCACGTTATTTAACATAATGAAATCCACAGGAAAAAAGCAAACCCTTTGAGGCTTTATCACACTGCAGTAGACTTCAGAGATGCTGATTACGAGATCGTGTTCACACAGAAACAACACATTAATTACATAGAGAGCCTTGAAGTGAGCAGAAAGATTGCAAGAGTGGATTATCAATTTCTCTGTCTTGACAACACTTGGAGCTTGACCTTTAAAGCACTCAGGCACCTAGTCTGTAGGTATGCACTATGTGAGGCATTTCGTGGGAGTTGAAAGTTCTACTCGGTGACAATACTCATTTCTGAGTGCCTTTATTCCTTTAAAAATCATCTGTCACTTCAGGTTTTTCATATGCAGTTTGAATTTTAGAATAACACCTATGAGAAATCCTAGGATTTGACTGGATCATGATCTCCTTCTTGATATAACCCAAAGTAGGCATAAACACATGTGACAAAAAGGAAATCAAAAGTATCATGCATAAATATATATTATATATAATTGTTTGCCACTCTTGTTTAGCCATTCCCTACAAGTGTTTTTCTATGCAAAATATGATGAGAGCACTTTTCCAAAACTGTAATTTTGGAAATATACTGCTTATAGGATTACAAGGGGCCCATGCCTTCAACCAAACTTATATTTATGCCTAAATTATGTAAATACTTACCTGTATGGATGACTTGAGTCTATAATTAAAGGTTTAATATTAAAGTTTGATCTTTTAATGAAAAATGTCACCCATGAAACTGCAGACTAGAGCCACAAAAATAAAGGCGTGTGTACCTTTTATTAAGAATCATCTCCTTAACTTTATGCGTGAAATCCTCTGTAGACACACCTGAAACTGCAATAATGAAACATATCTGGAAAAGAAATAAAATCCTACTTCTGCCCATTTCAAAGAGGCAATCAGTAGGAGAGGGATTATAAGGGGAAACTTAGGCGAAAAGATATTATTTTTCAGCCTCAATGACAATTTGTTTGGCTTAGAACTAGCTACCCAGGCTAAGGTGCTTGCATTATGCTGTTTGGATTGAGGTCATCATCTTGTATTCTGCAAGTGACAATACATACCTGCTGTAGATCACACAGGACAGCAGACTGCAATTACTGCTGTTTATATCAAACAAAGGACACTTTTTCGTTCTAGTATTTTTGGAGAGTTGGATGCTGCTATTGCTGTTGCTGGGGTATTTTGTTTCAAGTGATCTACCTGATTATCAGTCTCCATGCTTTGCTTGTGCCTGCGAGCAATAGAATCTCTAGCAGAGCTTGTAAAAAACCATTGTTTTCTGTAAGGGTCCTATAAAAAAAAAAACATTTCTTATAAACAGCACAGGAGATCGTTTAAAATTCATTGGCTTAAGTGTTGGGGAAATTAGTCAGCACTGCAAAGACATCGTCGCTGTGGGAACAAGGCAAACTGGGGACCAGGGACACCGACACCATTTCTGCTGAGGGAAGGTCTGGATGTCCTAACCTCACCCGCATTAAAGGTGACAAGCCTGAAGTTCTGAGGCCCACACAGAACTTCATCTTCATCATGAAGGGTGACAAGGCTGACCGCTGTCTGCAGCACTGGGCGGCAGCGCAAATGTGCTGCTTGGAGCAAGCACCAGCACAGAATTATTTTGGTTTACACCGAGTTACTTGCCTGCCAAAACGCTTCACGTAATCTTACCTTCCTCAGGTAGCAGTCAACACACCCCGAAGTCTTTTATACTAGAAATACACTTAAATGGCATTATAGAGAGCCACAGACGCTATGCTGACTTCGCCTTTTTCATTTGGACCTTTAACCTTGGCTTAAAACCCAAACATTTCAGGTGTCGCCTCTTTAAAAGCCATGTGGCAGCGAAAGAAAGCGCCACACAAGCCTCAATACTACTCCTGCCAACGCGCTTTGTATCCAGCCCTGACCGGAGGGAATCGCTGGTACCACCTGTGCCCGACCCAGTGTCCCGCCCCGGTGTGTCCCGGTGTGCCCTGTCCCGCCCCGGTGTGTCCCGTGTCCCTCCCCGGTGTCCCCGTGTCCCTCCCCGGTGTGTCCCGGTGTGCCCTGTCCCTCCCCGGTGTGTCCCGGTGTCCCCGTGTCCCTCCCCGGTGTGTCCCGTGTCCCTCCCCGGTGTGCCCT